TCTTTGATAGTCTGTTCTAGGGCCATCTTTACTGAAATAAACAGTAAACGGATGAGAGACCTGTGTGGAAAAGCCTGCTATAGTATGATGCATGGTATGTGGATGCAATGTTTTCAAGGAGTTAGGAAATTTAAATTTGTTATAGACAAAGAAAAGAGCAAACATCGATTGTATTAATAATTTTAAGTTAATTACAACCGTGCCTCTTGGTCTTACAATGGAGGAAATAAAGGAAAATAAACTCCTAATACAAAAAGGTCGAACGCATCCTCTTTGGCGCGATGTAGGCGTTCACAATTGTTCACAATTGTTTGCACACAATTCAAATATGTTGCTGTGTTGAAACTGAGAAAAATGCTTGCTTATATTTATAACAGAAAACGGTTAGTAAAAAAGAAAGTGTTATGAGTCGATGCATGTTGGTCATGTGTCGACTCATGTTAGTTATGTGTGACAGGATGAGTCGATACATTGTATTTTGAGTTGATACAAAATCATGTTATAACATTTTACAGAACTAACACTTTTATATCCGTCGACACATAACACATATGTGTCGATACATACTGATTGTAAATTTAATTTTTGAATTTAAAACATAGTATGAGTCAACACATGATATTATGTATTGATACATATAAGTTCAAAAATGTTTTCCAGGGGCATCAGAATATTTTGTATCGATACATGAGGTTTTATGTCGATGCATACAAGTTCAAGAATGTATTGCAGAGGCATCAAAGTGTTATGTGTCGATGTATGAGGTTTTGTGTCAATGCATATAAGTATTACAGGGGCATCAAAATGTTATGTGTCGATGCATGAAATTATGTATCGATGCATGCAGTTTTTAAGTTTGCATTCCAGGTTCATCAAAGAGTTATGTATCGACGCATAAGCTTTTGTATCGATGCATAATAGTTTTGAAATAGTATTCCAGGGACTTCAAAAAGTTATGTATCGATACAAAGCTTGTTGTGTCGATTCATAATGATGCATTATGAGTGAAATACATTTTTGACTTATTTAAACATGTTATATTATATTTTTATAGTGCACACATGTATTTAGTGTTTCACATATATATTTGCAATCATTCAAAATCAATTTATGAAGGGGTTGCTCACACCACGCGCCAATCCAATGTTTTCCTCGACTGACTTAAGTAACATCGGTATAAACCAAATTTCACACTAACGTAGCCATCACTTCAATCATATTGGTCTACGTCGTACAATTTCCATGATCTATTGCTACTTACCTAGGGTACCCTAGATCCGGGTGTGAGATCTTTGCAAGAAATTAAACCCAAACAACCCCTTAAAGTAAAGCAGACAATGCAAACAAAACAAATAAAAGTGATTTAAGACTCTAAGATAACCCCTCTTTTGAGAAATTCTCTCCAGCAGAGACGCCAATTCTGTAATACGGTGGGAGAACTGATTTATTTTGCGTTTTATTACAAATGTTACGGATAGCTAGAGTCGCCACTGGCTTTTCTTTTATCCAATAAGGAAAGGGTGAAAAGATCAGGAAAGACCTTGATATATTTTGAGTTTAGGGGGTAGGTTATGAAAAGGGAAGGTGTTATCACCCTTTTCATCCGTAGTTATCTACGGGCTCTTAATCGCTTAGCTCACTTTTGAAAATTTGCTTTTGGTGTGTTTTTAAAAAATATTTTGAAATTTTCCAATGTAAGGCGAAACTTTGTAATATCTCTTGTATCAGTCCTCAAGAATGCGTACAAAGTGTTTTGAAAATATCTTTGAAAGTGTTTGTGTGAAATGTTTTTGTTTTGAAAGGTTTGTGAGAAAGCGATTAACAGTTCTACCCACTCAAGATCGTTCTTGTACTTTTCCGTCTCCTTTATATAGTTCTATCTGAACCATTAGTTAGTAGGAAGTCCTATCGTTGGATGTGAAGGGACATGCGGAGGATCATCGTACGATCATTGAAGTCAACTTGTAAGAATGCTTTAGCAATTTCGTAAGGAACTAGATCATTTATCGAAAGGCAACATCGAAAGGGTCATCAAGGGACTATGATCTTTTATTCGAGGAACTTTGCTAAAGCGTCCCTACTTTCGAGGGACATAACCGTTTTGTTCTGAAGGCAACAAGAGAGGTTGCCCTAGAGGTGCGAGTGTGTTGTATTCAATTATTTATCTTTGAATTTAGGGTTTTATATCGTTCGTTTTTATCTTTCCATACAAACCCTAGTTACTAAGCAGTAATAGCAAGTATAAAAACAGTAAAGTGCGAAAAGTAAATTTCCTACGCTATTATATGACTTTGGGGCAGATACATAATAGAGGTGCGAAAAATAAACCTAACTATTACATCCCAGGAGGCAGATACATAATAATGAAAGAGAAAGCAGAAAATCTAGGCTATTACAATTGCGAAGCCTATACAATTTATCTAAGAAAATAAAATGAGAGAAAAAGGAAAGAAATATTTTTTAGTGATTTTTTTTATGAAAAGAATGATAATTAAGTAACCCTAAAAACCTAATTAATAAAAAAAAAGTTAATTAAATTTTTTTTGAAAACCTAAAAACCTAATTAATTAGGGTTTACAAAAAAGTTTTGTTTTTAGGTTAAGTGAAAAAATTAGGTTAAATTTGCCAAATAATAGAGTTTAAGAGAAAATGACAAACAAGGTTAGAAAATAGAGAAAATATAAAAATGCAAGGGGTGGGTGTTGAACCCATGTCCTTAGCCCTTTCACCAACACACTTTGCCACTGCACCAGGCGTGCACCTGTGTTAGAAGAATGGAATCAACGCAATATGTAATGAACCTGCAAGAATTGGAAAATATAAAAAATAAAATATCAAAAGGCAGGATCGAACCCACGTCCTTGTACACAAATGCCTTATCGCGCGCTTCATTGCCACTGGGGTGGCTGAGTCATCCTGTAACATTGTGAAAACAATTAAACAAATAATAAACAAAAATTATTAGGTCGGAGAAGCACCGAAGCCGTAGCTTCGGTCGTCTTCTCCGACGAGCTTGTTCTTTGTTCCTGCAAAAATAGTAAATTTTAAAGACTCAGTAATACCCTACCCCCCTAATTTGGGCCTTGCAATTTTAATGGAAGTATTCGTTTTGGCCAAATCATGCTAGATTGTGAGATATGAAGAAGACAACTTAAAACGGTGTAAACATGGCCAAACTCGATTCAGCCATTATGGGGGCCATGCGATGGTCTCATCCGGCACATTGATATCAAAAAAACATATTAGTAAGGTTAGTATGCATCAAAACGAAAAGAAAATAAAAACATGAATGCCATGTAATATTGGAAACCGAAGAAGTATATACGAGAGTTTCAAGCCCTTTGGATCTTCAAAGTTGATTCATTCTTACCCTACAGTGCTTCAGGGATCGATTGGGATCGATATTTGGCTTCGTGGAAGGCTGCAAGTAGGGTTTGCAGTTTGTAATTTGTCCTAGTTTTGATATTTTTTGGAATTTTGGAAAGGTGATCTTGTGCAAAGTTTTCATGTCTTTTCTGTCTGAAATAGTGAGAATATATGGAGAGAAATTAAGTCAAAAGGGATTGGACTTGGACCCTTGTAAGAAAGTCTCTTACTTTATCTAATTTATTTTGAATTTTCAATAAACAAGTAGAATAAAAATCCAAGGAGTGTATAAATAAGTTCAGAAGTTCATATTGAGGCCCATAACACGCATGTACCTTAAAATACAAGCTCACTAGCCCAAAAATTCAAGTTTGGTCATTTTAGGTTTCATGCATTTTCTCAAAATTTCCCAACTTGCATCAATCATAACTCTCAACTTTTATCATTTAAAGGTGATTTTGGACTTTTTGGAAAGATGAAGATATCCCCTACAATCTCTATGTTGGTCATTTTTACATTTGAAGACTTTATCTTGATGTAAGTTGCCTTGAAAAAAGTGTCTTTTTGTTGACTTTTGAAACAACGTGTAATATTTGGGCTCATATCTCTCAAATGAAACATTTTTTGGACTTGAGCTTAGAGAGACAAAGTTGTAGAGAACTAAACTTTCTTCAAAGTGAATTTTGGTTGAGAAAAATATGATAAAGCATGTGAAAGATGTGTTTGGTCAAAGTTCAGTTGACTTCTCTTAAATAAAACCTTAATTGAGCAACTTTAGACTTTTGATGAATCTTGAGTTTTCTTGATGAGTTATCTTGATCAAATGATGAATATGACATCAAAAATTTTGATGTTGACCAAAAATCTTGAGGATTGACCGTAAGTTGACCGCAATTGACTTTTTACCCAATACAATTGATTTTCAATCATCTGAACAATTGACTGAGCAAACTTGTGATGCAAGGTTTGAAACTTGACATAAGAGTACTTTGAGGCATATGATGAATCATGGAATCCACTTGAGACATTAGAAGCTCATTTTTCTTTGAGAAGCACAAAATCCTAGTTATAAGTCAATTGCTTAGAGAAAGGTTTGTCTGATCCAACCTTGAGTAGTCTTGAGCAATTGAAAACCTTAAAAGCATGAGGAAATATCTTGAAGAAAATTGGAGGACAAATTTTAGAGTACAACAATACCCATACTTTAACCAATGTATTTATATTAGAGTGAACTGACAAATTTTATTAATCTTCTTACAATTTAAAATTTTTAAAATTTCAAATTCATCATCAACATTGTGATATAATTATGTAACCCCAAAAAAAACATTGTGATATAAATATGTTAAATCTCGAAAGCATATGAACTAGACCTTTATTCACTTAAGAGTGCATTGCATTATTCATTCCTATGATTATGAAGTCCACGATTAGAGCCATATGAATAATTTGACAACATGATACAGACCTTTATTCACTACTACATCATTTTAACTTCTAACAACTCATGTTCTTGAAACTACATAGATTGCTTACACGACCTTACTTCAAAGAAACCTTAAAGTTGCTTCAAAAGGATATATACCCAACACTACAATTACGAGCTCGTGGCCACATGTTTTCGATACTCCCTCTCAAGGAGTGGCCACATTTTCCTTTGCTAGAGGAGCAATCTCATCCCCATCAATTCCAGGTAAGTTGCCTGCGACTTCTAGGTTCAACAGTGCCTTCTCCCACAGTTTGGCTGGTTTCTGTATCAGAAATCAAACATTAAGGATTAGTTAAATGACATTTCTTATAGGACTAACTCATCTTTACAAAATCACGGTTACCTTCCACGAGAAGTTTTGGGCCATGCAGTTCAAGATTATCTCTTTCATGGCTTGAGTACCATAGGTTTTCAGGGCTCTCTTTACAGTAGCTGCTAACTTATCTACATCATCCGGATCAACATCTTCACACTAAAAAACAACTGAAGTTATAATCTTTTGGTTTCATCCTCTATCAAAATCAGAACGGAAAAAAGTATACTTATCTTACCATTACATTGAACGGTCCGGCATGGAATCCTGTATAGCCTTCTTTCACAGTGTCAACAAGGCCACCAGTTGAGGAAACTATGGGCACCTGTTTCAGGCATTTTAAGTTAGCCATCCGATTTTGACCCGACAGTGCAGATCAACAACTATGCGACTGCATGAACTTAGAAAATCGAAATCTTAAATGGAGAAAAAAGGCGCGTAAACTCTACCGTTCCATATGGCATGGCATGCAACTGAACTAGACCACAGGGCTCAAATCTACTTGGGATCACTATAAAGTCAGCTCCAGCAATGATTTTGTGAGCCAAGGGGCTGTTGAATTTTGTTATCCCAATTGCTCTGCCAGGATATTTTTCCTCCAGCACCTCTATTTGCTTTTCCATGATCTTTTTGCCGGTTCCCTGAAGTAAAAAGAATATGCATTATAAACATAGCTTTGTTTAGGTAACAGTATCATAAAAGGACACGAAAATTCGGAAAAAGACACTTACAAGAGCAACTATCTGAACATTTTCATCAATGAACTTGGCGATAGCTTCAACAAGAATATCTGAACCTTTCTGCTCTTCTAGCCTGCCAATGAACCCTATCAAAGGGATACTGCTGTCAACTGGCAACCCAATCTCGGCTTGAAGAGTTTCTTTCAACAGAGATTTTGCTTCGGTGACCTAAAATTGATAGATTTGATGATCATGAGTTTCTATGTTCCATGTCAAAATAGGAATCCATGTTAAACTGAAAAGGTGCTACTTACAGTTGTTTCATCGTAATGTACATCTATGTATCTGTCAGTTTTTGGACTCCACTCTCGATTATCCATTCCATTCACGATACCAATGATGCCAGTTGACCGAATGATATTGTCCAATTCCACACCTCTGTCTTCTCCGGAAATAAGTTCCTTGGCATAGTGTGGACTTACAGTGAACACTTGGTCGGATTCTAATATTCCAGCTTTCATCCAATTGATTTTTCTTCCCTTCACAGGCTTATTATACCTGAAAAAGAAACAAAAGAAAAACATAATCAAATTGTATGAACACAAAACCGATGTTATAATGTGATTTTTAGAAGGATAACCATATCATACCCGTCAATAAAATCGAAAGAGCTTCGGAACTCATTAGGTAAATTGAGAAGAGGGAAGTCCGTAAAGGCGTTTCTACCCTGGTAGGCTATGTTATGAATACAAAAGGCTACCTGTCATCGTTACAAAAAAAGTCAGCTTCCTTATGCTATATAGATTTCGCGAACACAAAAAGTAGACAAATCCTCACCTTTGCGTTTTTGTAAAGCCCTCTAGACTTGTACATTGATTTCAAGTAGCATGGAATAAGAGCAGAGTGCCAATCATTGGCAACGAAGATTACATCTTCGCCTGCGGAAAGAGATAAAAAGCTTGTAAGCTTAAGTTGAAGTTTATCCTCAAATGAATATATTTAAGATCAAGAAAGTAATAGAGAGAAGAGTGCCACACCATATGGTCCTGAGAAATATTTGCTGCTGTTTAAGTTCAAAACCCTTGGTGCCTCTAGTGCAGCCTGAAAGTAGTTAAGCACATTGATAATGATCATATAAAGAAGTTGAAAATAAGTACAGGCAACAACCATTAAAGTCAAGAGTGAAGACCAATTTCAACATATAAAAATGCAGTCAATAATCATAAATCAAAACTACAAATATTGTGAATTTTTTAAGTATGATTCAAGAGCTTGTTTATAGAAAGGGCTTATGACATGCTTTTAAGCAATTTTCAACTTATTTCTATAAACTCTTCGTGATGACTTATGAAAAACAATTATTGATTAATACAGGGGTAAAACAAAATAGAAGCACTTAATTAAGTTGTTTATGTCAACAGATCTAACAATTAATACAGGATAAATAAAAAAGTTACCTGACACAACAAGCTGAATCTAAGTTGATTATCTCTATAATCAATTCCAGTTTTAGGACCATAAAGTTTTGACCCGGTCTTCCCCCACACCTTTCAGATTCCAAATATCAATAAACAAAATCAATTTATCTATAAACATACCATTGATTGATGAAAACTAAATCATAGAAATCAAACCCTTTCAAGGAAAAGTGGATGATCCACAAAAACACGATCAACTCCTCTCTTGTAACAGTGAAAGAAACGCACAGTTTCAATTTTGTCTCCAACTTTAATCTACCAACAACAACAAAAACAAAATTAATATATCACTAATAACGGTTAATTCTTGCCTAACATTTGCAAAAGATTGACCTCAATCAGCACATTCGTATCCCATGCATCCTTGTACTGATCATACCGCGGCGACACAGTCATAACACGATGTCCATTTCCCTAAACAATCAAAACATCACAAAATCGCATGCATGTTTTTGTAAACTACTCGCGATATGAACGTGATAAGTGTAAAGCAAAAGTAACTTACTGCTAAAACAGGCGGGAGTCCTCCTAGAACATCACCAAGTCCGCCAGTTTTACTCCAAGGTCCAACTTCAGCTCCAACAAACACCAACCTCATTCCACACACTATTTTCCCCATTGATTTCGCACTCGTGTTGGAAGAGCCAGAAGTAGCTCGTGCGGTACGCACGTTCAGCTTGTTGAGAGATCTTAAACCAACATAAGTAAAAGCTTGGTTGTTATTGAAAGTGATATGAGGGGAATTCTGTTTAGAGTCTGTTGATCTTGTTTGGTAATTGAAGCACGCGGTTCTTGTCACCATTGAAGATCCCGTCATAGTTGCCATTTTTGTGTCAAAATCTGCTTCTGCATGTATCAAACCAAATTCATCAACTTAGTTTTAATAATTCGTTTTAGTAATGTGATATTATTAAGCTGATTAATTTGAATCTGGTTGTAAGATTAGTTTGTGTGATGAAGTTATAGTAAGTGATAACTCACCGGCGGCGAAAGGAAGGTAGTCGTTGCTGGTGAGAATGATGAGAACAATGGCGTTTTGTAGTAGTGGGAGAAGAAGAGTGTCTCATACCGTTCATTGCTACATTTCGACACGTGTCAGACCAGAGTCATTTTCAGCGTACACATATGGTTTAAGAATTCAAATCCAATGCATTCACTGTTTGATATTTTTACACCCATTGGATCACAATAGCTTAACTACCGAGCTATTTTTTTATTTATAGTAAATAAAATATTTAAATTCTTATATTAATTTATTTAGTTTCAACGATTAAGTAACGATTATAAGTAAGAATGTCAATTTGTATCGGTTAACAGAGATTCTTATGAGGATTATTTGTTCGAAGTATTGAAGTTGATAATTTTTTCTGCGGAAATGGAGATAGAGGGAAAAGTTTCTCCGATAACACTTCGGGGTGAGGATTGAGAAAGTATCTCCTGCCCCGTCTGTAGATTCTCCGACTCCGATTATACTATTTAATTTTTATGTTTTATATATTATATAATATATTTATATAATTTTACATAATAAAAAATATTAATGCATTAGAAAATGAAGAGTCATTAATAGATTATTTTATTTTTATATTTTATTGTATAATATATTATTTCAATATCCAAGTCCACAATCGTAGAAAAGTGTATTAAATATATAGAATGTACACATCGTCACGTCATTTTCTTTTCTCAATTATCTTTGTCTCCCTCATTCATCATTTATTCCATTTTCATCATCATTACAACAACCACTCTCTATTTTGTTTATTGTATTTATGGTAATTACTCTTCAAACTCACTTTACTTTCATTAATAATATGTTTTTCATTCAATTAACAAATTAGTAGTTATGAATTTGCAACACTCACACATAATCAACAATTTGCGTTGGACGACCGCGGTAATGTGGTAGTAAATTAGCATAAGCATGGTTGCAACAAGTTCTATTAATATTTATTAATTTTTTTACAGAAAAAATATTAGCAACAACAAGTGTATTTACTTTTTTTTTTGTTATTGATGCAAGAAGTGTTTTTATTTTAAAAAAAAATAAAGATGCAAAATATATGTGGTTTTTTTAAATAAAAAAAAATTAATAACGAAATACTAGTGACATAGTTTTGATCGAAAAACATAATTTTTTTAAAGATTTGATCTTTATGGATCTCCGTGAGGATTTGTAGAGATGGGAATGAGAGAAAATATTCATCCGTGGCGGAGATTAGGGACGAGAATGAAGAATAAATTTAGGAACGAGACAGGGAGTGGAGAAGCATACTCCGAACATTCTCTGCCCCGATGATATCTCTAATTACATTAATGCGTTTGTGTCCAAGAGAACATATTAATTTTATTTACGGATGAACCTAAACAAAACATCATAGTCCTCAACTTCCAATTTTATTAAGCAGCGGAAAAGAATCACATATCATGTCAAATAATCCTTATTAAGTAAAAATCGATATTCATTAAAAAACTAAGGAGTTCGTAGGAATCCAAACAAATCATTTAAGCCAAACAAATTAATAAAGCATTCACCCCCCAGTGTTACGTATCAGTGAAACGATGCTAACTTAAAATAAACAAAGAGAAACCTCTTTTGATCCTTGCAGCCTCAGACTACTCCTGACTATTTGTACGATACCGTATAAAGCATCATTCCAACAAAAGGGTGAGATATCACAACAATATAAGATAATGCATAATAATAAGTATACAACAAGTAAATAATGCATAGCCACACATTCCACATCTCACACCTCCACATAACAACAACAATCTTATTATATAATAATACACAATCATGCATAATTCATCACACGTATCAGCAATCATCATGTAACACTACACCAATCATACAACTCAAACATCATGTTAACAATAATGCAATGCAATTAGACCGACTCACAGACATAATGCATGTGGTACTGATATCGCTCCCAAATCCATGACATCTAGAAATGGAGCCACCAATATCGTGAAAATTTTGGTTCACCTTGCTCCCGATCCATGCTATCTAGGATTAGATCCAACCAACATCATGAATAATGATGTTCATATCGCTTCCGATCAACACCATCTAGGTCCAGAGCCCGAAAATAGGACTAAAGTACATAACATGTAATGCATGCGACACAACCATACAAAAAAAAAACACATTGATATATACATCCATTAATGCGATACACCATTATGGCCATCAATTGTTCATACATGCAACATACCATTCATACAGCTCTACAATGTCATTCATAATCATTGTATCAACATCAAGTTATCATAATGCATATTTCATAATCAATTCGTCACACAACATCCAACTGACCATGTTATATGTAGTGAAAACATATATCATTTTAATCATTTGATTCCACCAAAACATAGTACATCGCGTTAGCTTTTCAACGCTTCTAACAATGCATCAAACAGAGTCCAAAAACTCAAGTTACGGCCTTTACAAAAGTCCAGCAATTCTGCTCGCCTTAGGCTCGCCCAACAACACTGGGGCAACACGACGTCCCTCATACATTTTCAAGAACACCTCTTTTCCACCCTTTCCTTCGCTTCTTGGCTCACCCGGTGAATTCACACTCACCTCCTTCTCGCCCAGCGAAGTTGGCACGAAACTTCTCCTCCCATACATTTTCTAAGAGAACCTAAAATCACAAGTTTCCTCGCCTAAAGATCGCCCGACGTTGCTTAGGAAAAATTGCTTCTCTCGGTGCTGCTTGTGGCTCACCCGACGCTGCGTGTGAAAAAACAACTTCCTACTGCAATTTCTGCATCAGACCAGACCTAATTTCCATACGATTCCAACCCGGTACAATCCCAAAACTCACCAAATTCAACATGTTTTCACAATACAACAATTACACATCATGATTGGCATTATACACATCAAATCATGGCAAAACAATATCATATATTTCACTAATTTCCATTACATGGGTTCAAATTACACAAAAGCAATTTCACAACAAGAATACATAACAACTATGGCAATTACAATCCCTAACATACCCATCGTTTATACATAACCCTTAGAAATTTGGAACCCCATCCTTACCTTGGATTAATAGTTCCTAACCCTAAAAAATGGAGTCTTCTAGCCCTATCTCTTTCTCACCTCCCTGCTTTCTCTTCTCTCTAAAATACGATCGTACAAAATGATCATCCTTAACCTCACTTTTTCCTTATTACTAGTTTAACCCTTAGACCCCTAATAGGGTCTTCCATCATTATCCCCACTAAACCTCGTACAAACTACTATATTTCCCTCTACATTACTACATATTTTATTTCACTTGATCATTAATATAATATTTTAACAATTACTCTTCAATCTAAATAATTCCAACATAATTATTTAAATTAAAAATAATTCTCATTATTATATTAATTCAACTCTACCCATACATATTAACAAACCATCTATTGCATCAAATAGATCAAAACAACATAATTAAATAGAAAATTTAATATTTGGGGCGTTACAACTCTCCCCCGCTTAGAATATCTTCGTCCTCAAAAATTACCTGATGCAAACAACTCCAGGAAAGACTCTCGCATCTTACTCTCCAATTCCCAAGTCACGTTCTCTCCGGCAGCTCCTCCCCAAAATAATATTAGTAGAGAAATTTCCTTGCCCCTCAACTTTTTCATTTCACGATCTTCGATTCACCCAGGTACAGTCTCAACAATAAGATTATCCCGCACTTGTACATCATCCATCGGAATCACGTGAGATGAATCTACAATATACCTTCGGAGTTGCGACACATAGAACACATCATGAAAATTCGACATGTTAGGTGGCAAGGCCATCTGTTGTACCCCAAAATTTTCCCTCCCGTTTTTCATTTAAGATATTATCCTAGGGTTTCTCGAATACTCAATTTGGCTCAGAAGTTGATCAGACAGATTCTCCTCCTAAGCATTGAGTCAGCAACTAGGGTTTGTCATTTCTCAAAGAAAATTGAGTCTTCAAGGTTTCAAATGGTCTTCACAGATCTTCATGTCTCTTCAAGGATGTCCGTGCCAAGTTTCAAACCTTGCATTGCAAGTTTTCTAAGTCAATGGTTCAGATGACTGAAAATGACTCCATTGACCCAAAAGTCGACCTTTATGAGATCAAGTTCAAACGATTGTAACTTCTTCATTAATCGATATTTTTGAGCGGTTCTATTTTCGTATGACCCTCCTTGATGTCATATCCAATTTCTCTTCACAAGTCAAGAGCTGGTTACGTGCGAAAGATCATCAGAAAAATTTGAATACTTTAGAGGTTATTTTGCAAATTTGACCTAATCACAAGAAACTCTTGTCCAATTTTTGAGGCTCATAACTTATTCAATTTTAAATATTCTGAAGCAATTCTTTTTGCGAAGTATCACAAATAGCATTGTCTATGAGATTGCTTCAACGATGGAAGACAAAATGCGCTTGGAAAACCATGAAATTTATTGAAATTTTATACGAATTTCTTGACTTTAGAATGTTATTAATCTCTAGATGTTGATCATTATGTTGAGATAACTCATTGAAACAAGAGTTTGAGTTTGAAGGTTCATGGATAGTTTGTCATTCGTACTTCAAATTATTTGCGTTTGAATGATAACGATCATTGGATCAATATGCTTATGGCGCAAGTTTGATATATTTGAAAAAAATTCATTCATGAGAATTATTTCGAATTCAAGGCAAGACATTCATCAACTTCATTCATCTTCATTCAAATTTCTAATCTTTCTTTCAAATCAATTGCAAGGGCAACATCAATTCCAATTCCAAATTTAAGACATCCATTTCAAGCTTTCAAGAATTCATGAC